AGTGATGACAACCAAAATGTTCTCCAGACGTTGCCAAATATACCCTGGTGAGCAAAGTCACCCCTGGTTGGAAACCACTCTGTTTCCAGGTGGCCTCTGGCTGGCCCTCCATCCTCAAAAAGCATTCCTCTCCCCTTACTTTTTACACTCAGCCAGACCGGACCGTCTTCAGCTCCTCAAACTCACACTGTCAGGCTCCAGAACTCCCCTCACAGCTCCCCCACGGCCCCCTCTCAGCTCTGACTCCCCTCCCTTGGGGAGGGCTTACCGGAACCCCTGCTTCACCCTCAGCACACCCACACTTCCATCCTGAAATATTTTATCAGACCTTTAATGAGTGTCTTTCTTCCCCACTAGCACAGAACAGACAGCATTTATTAGAAAAGTTGCTTTTTGCTTTACATTTTTATTTTTGTAAAACTCTAAAGCCCCTAGAAATTTGTGAGTAGGGATAGAGCAAGAAAAAAAGATGTGAAGTCATTATAATAAGTTGATTTAAAAATTCTGCATACTGTGCCATAACATACCTAGTTGAAGTTGTTTCTTATTTATGACAATTTTGATATAGTTTTCTTGAAGTCCAAAGGTGTCAGCTATTCTGTAAAATAAACCAGTGCAAACTGTAGGTAATCAGATTTGTTATTATCCACTAAACAGATTATAATCATGACAGCTATTCTATGTATTTTACTCAGAAACACGCAGTATTTCAAATGACTGATTTGTAAACATCACTGCACAATAAAGCCAGCCTGCTCGATGGTTATTTGAAACTGTGTAAGAGATGATGTCCTTTTTTAAACTTTCTGTTTACTATTTGTCTCCTCAGGAAGGGGAGCCCACTGGCACAGGACACCCATCTGAGGAGGAGGGCCGTCGCTGCACGTCAGGAGAGATTCCATTCTCTGTACCTCCCTGGAGGCACCAAAATAAAGGGCTGCTCCATACGATCTTCTGCTTATGTGTGTGGAATGAGTGACCCTTCCTGAATTCATCCCTGACAGCCCTGATGTAGACCAAAGAAGAAAATGAGAAAAAATCAGCTTCAGAAACATGGACTGCTAGCCTCGGTGGTACTCAAAACACTGACTGTTTAAAAGTGGAGGAATAACCAACCAGGTCTCAAAAGTAAGAATTTCACTCATGTGTTATAGGCAGGTATTTTTTCTTTTTAGATGTGCCAAGAGCCTGAAATTGGCTAAAACACTTTGTTGAATGTCACAGCAAGTTATCAGTGAGCTAAGGAGTAAAATTTAAAGCTAGTGTCTGGCAAATACCAGGCTGTCTCCTATTTGTATCACACATTCATTTAAACATGTACCAAGTACCTGTTAAGTGGTGGACAGAGTTCCCACCTGATCCCAAGTTACACCAGAGGGTGCAAATTCTGAGTTCCCACTTTGCCCTGAACTACAGCAGGAGCCTGAGTCGGTCCTGCAGTCTCACAGCCTCAATTTCCCTTCTGCAATTTGTCTTCTATAAAGTGAGGATGGTAATAGCTGTCTATCTCCCTTCCCGGATGGCCCGGAATGCAAAGTAGCCAATGTAAGAAAGCCATGAGCACCTGGGGCAGCAGGCAGTGGATACTTACTTAGATCTCAGTTCTCTGCCAGTGACGTGCAATCGGGTCTCCAACAGGCTTTTTCTATCCTATTTACAAGTAAGACAGAGAATAAAGCGCGTTTGAATTTGACACTTTTGGGCACTATTACCCTTGTAAAACCAGAAAGGTTGGTATCAGAAGATGTGAGCACCTGGTTCTCTGGTTAAGGACAAAACCAATACCTGCCTAGCAGAGAAGCTGATAAACGTACTTAGGAAAAATAACCTGACACAAGCTGACCCTGTGAGCCAGAAGTCCTCAGGGGGTGGCAGTGTGGCACCATAGCACAGCCTTAGCCTCTGCTGGGTCATGCGTCTTAATTCAAGGGAACTGGCCTATGCTACATAAGGGCCCAGCCTATCACCTCCAGCACTAGCGCCACCTCAATGAGCAAGAGACAGTCCCCTTCCCTGTGCCCACTATGCCCACTGGGCAGGCAGCAGCGAGACCTGTCTTCGGAGCCTCTTCATTCTCCCCTGGCTGTGCTTAAGAGGAAAACATGCAATCGCTAGAAACACCTACAGACTGCAAAGCTGCTCGGATCCTACACTTACCAATCAGGTTTCTGACTGGTGGTTTGGTTTCCCAGGTATTTGATACTAGCAAAGAGGAGTCTGGTGTATGTATGGAGCCCTTTAAATTCATGAACTGGCATTCTGAAATAGATACATATGTAATTTTCTTTTTCTCATAAAGCTCTTTATTTTTCCTAGAAATTTTTAACAGCTTTATTGAGATATAATCTACATTTCATAAAGCTCACCTGTTTAAAATGAGTCAGTGGTTTCTAGCACATTTACAAGGTCACACAGCTATCACCATTACCAAACTCCAGAACATTTCATCACCCCCTCCAAAAAATGCCGTATCCCCCCATCCTCATTCTCCCCTGGCCCAGGGAACCACTGAGCCACTCTTTGTGTCTATGCTTTTACCTACTCTAGGTATTTCATATACATGGAGTCACAGAACACATGGCGTTTTGTGCCTGGCTTCTCCCGCAATGCTTCTAAGGTTCACCGTGTTGTAGATGCACCAGTGCTTCTTTCCCTTTTATGGCTGAACTGTTTTCCATTGAATGGGTGTACTTCACTTGTTTGGCTGTTTATCCACTGATAACATTGGGCTGTTTCCGCCTTTTGTGAATTCATGTACAAGTTTCTGTATAGGGATAGTTTTGATTTCTCTGGGAGTAAAACTGCTGGATCATATGGTAGCTCTGATACATACATATTTTCATTTCCTCTGTGAGGAAACTGGTGAGTCCTCAGAGGCCAGCCACCTACGGGACTCAACACCTCTGGACCTGAACTACTGAGGACATGGCCCCAAAACGAGGCGGCCCCACCCAGCTTACTGTGGCCCTAAGTGAGTACACAGCTGACCAACCTCTGAGCTCCAACCAACATAGAAAAAAGGACAAATCCCTTTGTGATATGTCCTATTGCATAGTTTGGGGAAACCTGAAGTACTCTTTTACTCCCCATCACTTCTAAATGTTCATTCAAACTCCAGAAAAGGTAAGAATTGTGATGCAAGGATTTATGAAGTTTTGGAGGTCTCAGAGGTATGGTACCTTGTAATTTAAAAGAATTTTAACTTTGAATTATAGCTTTAAAAAAATTGTTACTTATTTGATCACATCACTAAATTAACTAAGCATTAATATCTATGTAAATTTGGGAAAACTACTCACTTTTCTTAGTCGTAGAGGTAAAAATATCTCAATTGTAGCAATGCCTGTTGTTTTGTAATTTTCATTTCCTGTGCCACGCTGGACTGCTTTGCAACGTATTTCTTCTATTATCTTTTCTATTTCATTTTCACAACAGTCTAGCTTGTCAGAGTACTTCTTAGCAAGGTCCTGTAAAGAAAAATCAGAAAACACAAAATAGTGTAACACCAACTAAAAAAAGGGTGGGGGACAAAATGCAGAACAGCATGTGTAGGATGCTAAGGCAAAAAACTCTGATGAGTGGTGGTTACTCCTATTCTAGTGAAATCCAGACTGGCTGGACACTTTGAGAGGTACAGGGGTTAGAGAGGCTCCAGGGCAAAGTAAAAACAAGTCAAGGATGGGAAAGCAGACCCAGCAGAAAAGTGAAAATAGTTGGGACTGTTCTGAGGAAACAAGAAGGGTGGGCTAGGGCTTACGTAACTGTAACATATACACAATTATTTCAAGGAATAGTGAACTAATCAACTCCACTGGAGAGGGAAAAAAAGAAAAAAGAAAAAATATTCTAAATTTTCTAACTTGTGAGAATAAATCAGGTTAAATAACTTTCTTCATGGAAAATCATGAATCTGGTATGGTTGTAAAATAATAATTTGCTAGAATGACTCAAGAGGACTCAGGAAAATGCTACACGTGCAACTATAGTTTATTATAAAGGATACAAACGAACATTTAGGTGAAGAGGTACAGAGTCTGGAAGGGTCCCAAGAGCAAGAACTTCCATCCCTGTGGAGCTGGGGCCACCCTCCCAGCACACAGATGCGTTTGCCAATCTGGAGGCTCTCCCAAACTCGTCATTTAAGGTATTTCATGGGGGTCCATTACGCGGGGATGGCTGCTGGTGACTGGCTCAATCTCCAGCCCTCTCCCCTCGCACAGGTTGGAGAGGGGCTGAAAGTCCCAAGCTTCTAATCAATGTTTGGTCTTTTTGGCAACCAGCCCAATCCTGAAGCTACTGCCAAGGGTCGCCTCTTTAGAATAAAAGATGCTCCTATCACCCTTACCACCGGGGGAATTCCAAATGTTTTCAGGAGCACTGTGCCAAGAACTGGGGACAACGACCAACTAGGTTTCTTATTATGCCATACCTAGTTTCTGACCCAAAAGACCGTCACAATTAAATTCAGAAAAAAGGTCAGAAGGTGGGTTGCACAAAATAAAAAGTGAGGCCTCTCAGAAACAGGAAAGATAGAAAAACTCTTAAGACCCTGACATAGTTCGTCACCTCCCAGGCATATCATTGTGTCACAAAACAGGATAATGTGATGCCCTCATGACAGTGTTACCTCATTTATCTAAGGATACTCAGACTGAGAAAGCAGAGTAGTACTGGCTGGGATATTCCATTATACTAGATTTCTATGAAAAATTATTACTGTTTCTTTGCTTAAAAAAAGCAGGCAAACTTAATTTCTAGAAATTTCACTTATGTAAAATATTGCCATTTCTGATGGTGCCATAAAAAACTGAGGCATAATTATTAGAAAATGTGTTTTAGAAAAAATGAACAGAGAGCCATGGTGTAAAAAAACCTGGGGTAGGAGAGTAATTGTTTGATAGCAGAACCTGCTAGCAAGGACTGAGAACCCACCAAGACACTCAGCCTGAAGACACAACAAACAAACTCACTGCCACTGCCACACCACCAGGTCAAACTTAGTTCCCAAATTAACACTTTTATGTAATGCTGTGAAGGCATGACAAATAGTACATGCCCAAGAAATTAGACAATATTCTCATATGAATAAAATCTTATTAGACAAAAATAAGCTTATCAACTTTTTTCTTTTTTAGGAGAGCAAGGCAGAGGCTTTTATTTAGAGATTAAGTGAGAGGACAGAGCTCCTGGCTCACGCCAGGAGGGGACAAGAGAGTCCCCAAGCTTATCGACTTTTAGTGAAAAGTGGGTACCTGCTTATCACTAATGCTTTTGGTTGCACAAAAAGTTGACATGGTTGTGCCTGGCAATTTCTTCAGAATCTTATTTACCAAGGACACTTACAACATTGATAATTGTTTATGTCTTAAAAGAGAAATACCTTTAATGCCAAACCAACTTCTTTATTTTCATCTGTATATGGAGGTTTCCAAAGTTGAATTCTGTCTTCCCTTAAAAACTGGGTCAATTTTGATTGGAGATATTTCTTTTGCGCCATTCTTCAAAGCAAAACAGTGTATCAATGAAACCCCAAACATTTCCAAGTGTTTTATTTATAACTTACCTAACACTCTGATATGTTTTTCAGAGTAAGCAGAGCTCCCCTCCTCTCCAATTTAATCTAAAGGACTTCTAGATTAGCTTTTAATTAGCTCCAGACTTCTCTAAAATACGTATACCTTATATATATATATATTCAACATATAACATAAAAATATGCATTTCAAAGTTCCTAAGTTTTAGGATTACACTTTTAGCAAGGTTTATTACACTTTTCTATTTCTAAGTCTATTAGTCTCTGAACTAAGAGAAAAGAAAGACAAAGATGAATCCATTAAGTAGCAACTCAACATAAAGCTTATAAATTCTCCTGTATTTTGATTAGTTTAACACAAAAGACTAGCCACCGTGGTAGGTAATTATCAATAATAGATACTCTGTATATCTGAATTTTTAAAATTAAGAAGTGTTAGAAAAACTTTGCATGACACTTTGCACAACAGCAGATCTACATATACTCTTCAAATCTAACAGTGGTTGGATCATTTTACAGCTGAGCACACCCAGGCCCCAAGTCTGTAAAATGACTGGGCAATGTCACAAAATCAGGCACCATAATCGGCCTTGGGACTTCTGCCTGGACAGGACTCTGTGCTTTGTCCCGCAAGCCTCTGCTGTTTGTGTGTACGTAACTGTAACTACTCTCTCCCAAGGAAGCCCCTGCCAGCAGGGCAGCTGTCCACTGTCCACTCATCTCTCACTCACTCAGCAATTCAGAGGGGTGGGTGCAGCTGCCAGAGATGTGAAATAGCAGACAAGAGCAGTGAAGCCAAATCAGACAAACAGTAAGAAAAGTACAAAGTTATTAGCTCCTTCATGATGAAGACAAGTTCTTGAGAGTGAAATATATATATATATAAGTATTAATATAACCTAGACAAGTAATTTTCTTTTTTTCTATTCAGGACCTGGATTCCACACCCCTTAAAACCCAATTCACCTGATTTTTAAATGAAGTTTGGTAACTTAGGTGTATTACATAAGCATATATTTTAAAAGAAAGTTCAGGTCTAACTTTCATCACTTCGAGGATGAGAAAGAGGGTAATCAGGATAGGGAGGAGAAAAGGGAAGGAATAAATACATCAAGGAGGAAACTGTGCATCCAGGTGATCAGGAAGGAATCCTAGATTTTTAAGCACTAACAAACTGCTTCTCACACATAAAAGTATATTAATACTTAGGAGCATTAGCTTTTCAAACACAACTTACAGGACCACTACACAAACTCAGTTCCCTATTCATACATCTTTAGAAAATCTGAATAAAATATTGGGGGGGGGGATCATTTCATGGGTGGCTTACTAGAGCCAGGCTATTTAGAAGGCTCAGCATGCAGGCCTCCACGATCCCATCCAAGCCACTGCTGACCAAAGGTCTGAAGGGTTTCTTTCACAAACGTATTGTGTGTCCCACATTGTACCCAAGGAGCGAATCAACAGCTCAGGGGGAATACACCGCTGGAGTCTTAATGTTTAAAAAAGATTAAGCCGCTGTCTTGAAACTTTCAAAACTTCCGTTATGGTCAACAGAATAAACAAAAATACATATTTTAAGTCAAAAGAAACAATTTTCCATTTTAACTGGAGAAGTGAAAGTTTCATGCTTGCCATACAATGTTCCACATTATAGCCAAAAAAGCGCAGACATGTCAATTATTTCTCAATAAAACTAGAAGGGAAAAAAAGCGCAGAAACCCATTACTATTACTGCTCCAAACTGAAAGTGAAACGTTACAAACCACTTCTTCTAAAATTTCACTTTCACTTTTGCAATGAATCCGGTCTACGTACGCTACATTCACCCAGAGCTTTTCAAATATATATATATACACTTACATATTCAAAGTACATGAAATTTTCTCTTAGGCGGAGTAATAAAAAATTTTTATTTAAAAAAATTAGATTAAGGGAAGGAGCTGGGAAATACAGAACAGATGGGCAAGGGTGGTGAAAGTCAACCATGTTTTCTCATTAATTAGCAGAGAAAACGACTTTGCAAATAAACCCCAAACGACGTCCAGGAATGAGTATTACGATTCAAGCTTTTCATTTGGCTTGTTAGATAGATTTTAATATATACATATATTTCTGTCTCCCCCGCAAAGTCCGTCTTTCCTTCAATACCCCACCGCCGCCGCCGCCCAGCCCAGCGCAAACCTAGGGCCCCGCCAACAGCCGTCGTGCGCCTCAGCCTCTGCCGGCGGCCCGACCCGGCCGGGCCTCAGCGCCGGGCGCCCCAAGCCCCCCGCTGCGAGAGCGCCCGACCCGGGCCGGTGAGGCGTCGGCGTCGCGCCGGGGACGGGGACCGCGGACCGACGCCGCTGTGGTGGGCGCCGAGGCTGGACGCCGGACAGAAACCCACTCACCTGCGCCACCGCTCCCTCAGCAGCCGGCCGCCGAGTGCCCGGATGCTGCAACGACCGCCGTTTGTTTTTATTCCGGGTGAGGCCGGCCCCGCCCCGTCGCCTCAGCACTGCCCTCACGTGGGCCAGGAAAGGGGGCGGGGCAGGGAGGGTTGGGCGGGGTGCTGTGGGGGCGGGGCGGACCTGAGGGGAGGGGCGGGCCTGCGGGGCGGGGCGGGCCTGCGGGGCGGGGCCTGCGGGAAGGACTGCTAACCGGGGCTGGCGGAGGGTTTGCTTGGAGCCGGGGGTTTGTAGGGAAAGGACCGCCGGCCCGGCACAATTTGCCCGACTTCAGAGGAGACTGGAGTCTGGCTCCGTTTCTGCAGAAGCCTTGAGAGAGGCCAGCACCTCGCGGGAAGACCCATTTCCCCTGGAGGAAGGATCTGGACCTCTACAGTCGGGTCTTTCCCCGACACCCACCTTTCGTCCAGGCCGGACCAAACGGGTCCCTCTGAACGTCCGGGTCTTCCTCCCGCCCTCCGTCGTCCTACGTCGGGCCTCCGCTCAGGGTAAAATTAGGTTGCTTCTCTCACTTCCTGACCCCTTGCCCAGTGCTTCCACTCGCGACGCTGACCCCCACCAACCGGGTATCCAGCGTAGTTTCAATGGCAAGATCTGTGCAGTTCCAGCCGCACCCAGAGAGCCCTCCCAGAGAGCTGCGGTAAATACAAACCTGTGGTCTGGGCTGTGTCCTTGTGTCTAGGTGAGAAAATAAGACTGGCGTGCATAAAAACTAAGAGCCGCCTGAGAACTGCTCAGCGAACGAGGGCAGAGCCCAGGAACTCGAGCACAGGTTCTGGCAAAGCTGGACACAGACCTGTGATGGGCGGACCCGAGAAGGGAAGATGGAAAGAGCCCCTCTCAGACCCAGTACATTTGCTGGGATGAAGCTATTGGCCCATCCTTTCCGAAGCCCAAAGCCCGTGCTTGGACCCGCTCTAGCATGGGTTGGGGCTTGAACCGGTGCCTGGGGGTACCTGGGCAAGCTACTTAGCACACTACCTCAACGGGGATTATAGTAACACTGCCCACCAGGGCTTGGTGGATAAAATCTTGCGCTAGGATCTGGCCCTCTCACTCCACCAGGAGCACCCCCAGGACATGAATAGCCCCAGCAGTACCTTTCGAAATGGATGTATTGGGTGTAGAAAAACACCACGGGGCCTTGCGGCAGACGGTATGAAAAGGTCTCTGCACAGCCTCTGACACCCTTTACCGGTAAGTGGGAGGTGGGATCCTTCCTGCTGGTGCCCTTCCATTCTCCCGCGGAAAGCTTTCGGTGAAATGTCTGCCTAAATCCATTTTAAGGAGGAGAAACGTGTTCTGCTGGTCTCCCTGCCAGCAGGAAGAGGACTCTGCACACACCACGCAGAGCAATTTCCCTTCCGCTCTTCTCATCTCATGACCTGCAGGCATTACCCACCATGCGCACCAAGCTGGTGGATTATTGTGTCTTTCCAAATATTGTGCCTTCTATAGCCAGAGCCTCCTTCAGGGACACAAATATTTACAAAATTTTCGATATTATAGTTCTCTACCTTGGGCTAAGTCAACTTCTTAGTCAAGACAAAGACAAATGGCAAAATAAAGGAAAATATTGGCCAATTCACATCAAAGACAAATCTCTTTAGTATATGAAGAGCTCTTAAAATTCAGTATGAAAAAGACCAAAACAGAGAAGTGGGCAAAGGCTATGAAAATGATTCTCTGATGAGGCAATATAAAGGATTCATAGATGTATGAAAAATTACCTCACTTAATTTGAATTGAACATCACTTAAAATGAAATAGATATAAATTAAAACTATACCAAGATACCATTTTTTGCCTACCAGACATGACTTGTGGAAGGTTAAATAGGCACAACTCCTGGGAGGGCAACCAGAATCAAAATGCATATTCTCTTTGACCCAGTAATTCAACTTCTTTTTTTTCTTGCTATCTTTTGTTAACCGGCCTCCTTTCTATTATTCCTAATACTGACATTTAGTGGCTTCAACTGCAATTTCTTGAGATGAAGAATTCTTCCTGATTCATGTTTGTGTTTTTTGGTATGGGTTTTGGGTTTTGGGTTATGCAGTGACAATGAATCAAAGAACTTCCTCAGAACTGATTTTACATTTGCTGGAGTAAAATCAGAGTATCCTTAAATATCCTGATGACATAGTGATGAAATTTAATGCTGAATATTAGCAATTCTTGCTGGAAAAGTGAAAAGCAGTAGGAAATTTGGCAGTTCCACCTTATTTAGAGTCATTTTGATCAGAATAATATACTTGCAGTGGGTTAAGTTGTGTGCTGAACTGATTTTTTGTAGATGGGGAAGTGGATTTTAAAAGAAAACAAGTTTTCTTGATTTTTTTTCTATTTATAAGTGGGGATTTCTGGGGAGTGGTTATAAACTGGAATTTTCAGGGAATTTGAATAATGACTCACACTTTCAGCCTGATAGGTTTTCAGTTTTACTGAGAACACTATCTGGAGATATAGCCATTTTATTCAGCATCTTAGCTAGATGAGAAGAACATGGAAGGACAGAGAAACCAAGCAGGTGGTGAGGGAAATTTGGTCCCACCTGATGGGGAATACTTCATTTCAATCGCACTCGAAGAGGATAGAAGCTAAAAGAAGTTACGAAAAGATCGGAACCTCAGAGGGGGGAGCTAAGGGTGTCTGCCAAATCTAGACATAGGCCTGAGGCTGAGAAGGAAGGTTTTGAACCCACCGAGAGCCCTTAACAGAGACAGAAAAAGAGAAGAGCTTTCGCAGAGTCGGCGGGGGCAGGGTACCAAGAGGCCAGCCTGGAGGCAGCCAATCCCAAGAGAAAGATTTGCTGAGTAGTTTAGGAATACTAGTTAACAAATTTTTCTTATTTTTTTTTACTATTAAAAAAATATTTTAATAATAAAATGAAAGAGGAATAAATATAAATCCCCCATGTTTCATTACCCAAAATATAACCATTGTAACATTCAATGTGAAATTTTCCAGTATTTTTTTTCCTATCAAGAGCTTTTCTTAAATGTCTTTAAAAAATCCCATATATGCCATTTTAAAATATACTTTTAAAAATTAATGTATCTTAGGAGTTTTTGTTATTATTTGATACCTTTGTACATATAAATCCTGATGGGTTTACTGCCCCCTTTGCAACAGGAGTTCGTTTACCTGCTCACTTCAGCCTCTGCTGCCCCTGGTTGTGCCAGAACCAATGCCCACCCCCCGCCCCCTGCTGGGAAGGGCCACCCCCACCTCTACGTTAGCAGGTGCAAGCCTAGTATAATCGGCCCTGTTACCAGGGAGACCCAAAGCACCAGGCCGGCTTAGCCCAGTGTTTCTGGGTCCATTAAAACACATTCATAGATACCTTTAGGTTCTGTTCCTACACAAGGCACACAGTTTATAGGGACCATTCAGATTGTTTGTACTTGTACCATTGGGTGGCTACAAAACTAAGTTGGAAAGAAAAGGAAGCAGGGCCTTACTTGGACTGTCTGCCATATTTTACAGGATCTCCTGAGCTGCAGATGGAAGAATGTAGATGCACCCCATCCCCCCTTTTTTAGCCAAAGTAATTTTGAAGTGTTGTTAAGCAGTCATAACTTTTAGCCATTTAAAATAGATTTTCCTCTATACCTTCTACTCTGTACACCATCCTCTTCCTCCGCATTATCATAGAATGATAGTTCACATTTATCAGGCACTCAGAATGTGCCAGGAACTGTTCTAAACACATTGCATGTGTTAACTCATTTAGTCCTCCTGAGAACCTGAATTAGATAAGCACCGTTATTACGTCCATTTTCCAGGTGAGGAAAGTGAAATGCAGAGACGTTACGTAACTTGCCTTGGATCACACAAGCTCGTCTGTCTGTGGCAGAGAAGAATTTGAACCAAAGCAGCCTGGCTCAGAGCTTGAGTTCTTAACTGCTTATGCTTACTTGTTGTTTTTATTGCTGCATTGTTTCTGTGTTTGTTTTTATCATTTGCAGAATACGTATGGTTGAATTTGCACAAGTTAATTTTGAATACAATGTGACTCTAACAAGGAAAAATTGGAACTAAACTAAATGCCCATCAATAAAAGCAAAATTAGAACAAATGATAGCATGTCCTTACTGTGGAGCACCATTAAAAAGACTGGGGTAGATCTGTATGTATGTAGAACATGGGAAGGTGTTGTTAATCTTAAAAATAAAACTGTGTTTCATTTGGGAATAGCACAGAATTGCAATCTGGGACAAGCAAGCTACAGCAAAACCGTAGGTGAGTCCAGAGAACAAGGACCATTTTATATAGAGGAAAGGGTGGACTTGGGATGGAACAGTCTGGAAAGATACCAAGAGGATTGAGAAGGGATGAATGGGGACTTTATATACTTCAAAACTTTTAATTTTGACAACAAGCATGTATTGCTTCTAGCTTTAAAAATTAAGAGGGCAAACATAGGAAAATAACTTGTACCAAAGGATAACAGGTTCATTTTGCATTTGATTCTATGCTGTTTTACTTGCCACTCTCTGTGCGTAATTCTTGTCTCCCAGGTAAATGATCAGCTCTTTGAGGGAAGATAGACTGTATCTTCAATTTCCATCTCTCCCACCAGCACCTAGCACAGTGGTGAACACAGCAGATGCTTAGTGAGTGTTACTCACGTGCAGCTCTTCCTCGACTTACGATGGGGTTACATCCCCATAAACCTATTGTAAGTTGAAAAGATTATAAGTCAAAAGTGCAGTTCTGTGCCTAACCCAGCATCACGCTTAACCTGGCCTACCGTATACGTGCTCAGAACACACATTCACCTACAGTTGGGCAAAACCATCAAACACAAAGTGTATTTTGTAATAAAGTGTTGAGTGTCTTGTGTACTTTGTTGAGTCCTGTGCTGAACGTGAAGAGCAGCATGGCTGTCAGGTGATGGGTTGTGATTGTGTGGCTGACCGGGAGATACACTCATTGCTGTCGCCCAGCATTATGGGAGAGGACTGTCCCATGTGTCCCTAGCCCGGAAAGATCAAAGTCCAAAAAGCAAAGTACAGTTTCTACTGAATCGTATTGCTCTCACCCTATGGTGAAGCCAGAAAACAGTAACTGAAACCATCGTTAAGCAGGTACTGCCTGCACGATTACCTTCTAGAAATACTTATTAGAAGTCCTGGTTCCCTGATTGCTCCACAAGTTTCAAGATGACTCTATTCCTGGCACATTACAAGAGTACATAAACAGATTGTCATTGCTGGGGACCGCATATGCCCTTCCCATGATATGAAGACAGCAGCAGTCAGGAAGGGACTGCCTTTCCTGGAGAGGACATGACCAAGAGGGCCTTCCCATTAGGCCAAAGAGACTGCAGCGAGAGGGGTAAGTGAGGCAGGAGAGGCCCGTGGGACTGGGAGAGGATGCTGGCAGAGAACAAGCCCTGAGATGTCAAGAGGACAGAGAGGGATATCCCAGGGAACCCTGGGTGACAGCCACGGAAGTCTAGACTTTATATTCTAGGAGGTCAGAGCATTTGCTTTGTTTTGATTGCAAAGGAAGTGGTGAGGTAACAGGGCCAATCAGATGACCATGAGCAGGAAGGGCCGGAGAGGTCTGGATGTCATGGCCATGGCTCAGGTAGAAAGACATGTAGACCCAGCTAAGAGTAGTTACTGGAGAGAGAGAAAGGGACGCAAATGCTTAAATGGGAAAGTGCTCTATGGGACTGATGACTACCTGGATGAAAGATGAAGGAGCCGGTTACCTACCGAAAAGGTTTGTCTCAGTGTAATTTCATGTGTAGACAATATAACTGGATTCATGGGCTCAGGTGACAGTGCTCTGGGGCTTCCATCCAGTCCCATGGCTGTAATTAGCAACTTGACATTGATGACTTTTGTGCCAGTGTTCTGAGTTGCAGAGCCCAGGATCCATTCCAGGCAGTGGCGACAGATGCGTTTGTAACTCTTAGAACCTTCAAGAGGGTCAAAGAAGGTAGTTTGGATGTCGAACGCCATCAGGAATAAAGCAATCTGGGATGACAAGGAAAATGCGGAACCTCACCACATAATTGTTCCACTAGAAATACCGCTACCAGTGCCTCTATGGCTCTGGACAACAGAAATGCCACGCCAGAGAACCCCATGTGTGTGCTGCCTTGCCAGAAGCTTCAGTCTCCCTGTGTGCACTTCCACCGCACACTGGTCTGCTGTCCACATCTCCCAGGGACACATCTGCATGTGCGTCCCAGGTCACCTGCAGAGCCCCAGCTGCAAGGGGGTCAGGGAGAGTCTGTCTTTCATTTCCGGCCTCTACAGCAGGGGCAGACCTGCCAAGAGGGAGGTCTGAAGGCCGAGTACAGGTTAATCAGGCAGAGAGGGGCTGCACGTTCATTCCAGAAATGGGTATTAGCCTCTGGCAGGAAGGAACATGGTGAATAGGACCGCATGGCCAGAGAAGAGAGAGAAAACAGGGAGTGTGACATCAGGCAAGGTTGGCGGCACAGGCCAGGCACTGGGGGACACCGTGAGGATTCCTCTTCGGAACAAGAAGCCACCGCAATGGTGAGAACCAGTGTGTGTGGTAGGAATGCAGGAAAGTGGGCCAAACCAAGAGAGAGCTGGAGACCAGACCTTCTAAGAGTTGGTGACAGACGGGAAGTGGGGAGGAGAGAGGGGCCTCAGGTTGCTCCACATTTCTGGCTGGGTGGACAGTAGCGCCAGTTACTGAACAGGAGGCCCTGGAAGAGAATCAAGCCTGTTTTGTTTGTTTGTTGGAAGGAGCGGTTGAAGAACTCAAAAGTTCAATTTTTGGAGCTGTTAAATTTCTTTTTGGAGATGTCTTTGAGACATCTAAGAGGGCTGTCTGGCAAGAACATGAATAAAAAGGGGAGACCTTGGCTAGGAATACCACCTGTGAGCCATCTGTGTACCCATGCAGAAATCGAAGGCCTGGGTATATGGATGACCAGGAAAGAATAAGACCCAGAGAACAGAGCGCGGAGACCAAGCAGTCGTGTGGGGAGCCCCATCGCCATGCAGGGCTTTGACACCAATGGGTCTGCCTTTTGTAGGAAAGAATGAGTTTTGTGGAACTGCTCCAGCGAGTGTGACAGCCTGCGTGGCCACCAGCTGAGAAGAAGAAAGCTGTGAGCCCCAAGGAGGCTCGTTCGTAGAACAAGGATGTGTAGAGAAAGCACGCGGTGCCCAAAGAGAGATGAGACTGGGGAGGAAGCCAGCTGCCCAACAAGCTTTCCCATGAACCAACAACAGGCACTAAACTTTATGCAGAAAAGTGGGTTTGAGCAGTTTGTGAGGTTCCTTTTCTTTGCATAATGTGAAATTAATAAGAGTGTGGCATGCACTGATCGTTTGGCATGAAGTATTTCCCCCTAAACTGATGATTCACTGTGGAGGAGAGCCCGGGCTGACAGCAAATTTCCCAGGGAAGGCAATATATATATATATATATAT